GGGGAAATGAGAGACTAAGCGCGGAGAGGAGAGTATGAGGCGAGAGAGCGCTACAGATGAGAGAGCGCCAGACAACAGCCTGATAAGAGAAAAAAAAATCTGCAGCTTCAGCAGCTTACTTTGCAAGGCCCAAGCGCTCTTGTCGGTTGGTTTCCGTGCACGGGAACGCCACATTTGTGATTGTCCTCTAGGGTTCTATACTACAGACCGAAGGGAAGCGTTCACACAACTCTGCCTGAGGTTGTGCCTTCAAGGCCCTAGTCGTTGAGACAAGATTTCATTGTTGATTTGATCGAATGTTCTAGGGGAAAAGCGCCAATGGTTGATGCTCCAATTCTGAAACAAACACTGATGAACTGCAGAAATACAAAGATTATGCTACTAGTACCACTTACCGTTTTCAACGGCGTCGAGCAGGCATTCGTGATTGGCATTTTCACTAAGGTATGATTTGATCTTATAATCGTTAGTAGGCTGAAATTTCTATCAATTTTTGGTTTCTAACAAGTTTTTCAGGCCTTTGTTGCATGTGGATTGGGCGTGCCACAAATAGGCTTCGTCTGCACTGCGTTCGGAATATCGGACGCCATTTGCAGTCTAGTGTTTGGTCCACTGATCAAACTGTTTGGTAGGATGCCGCTGTTCGTGTTTGGAGCCGTGAATAATATGCTGATGATAGTAACTCTAATGGTGCGGGTCTCTGATTACAGTATCACTTTAAGAGATTTTTTGGCCATTCACTATCTATTGCACCTTTTTTATTGTTTCAGATATGGCCTCTGAATCCTGCTGATAAAGCTATACTCTACGTTGCTGCCACTGTGTGGGGCATGGCAGATGGCGTTTGGAATACTCAAATAAACGGTCTGTAATTTTTTCTACGAGATGAGTCTGTATTCAGGGGTGGGAGGAAATCACTTTACTCCACATTTGAAACGAACTTAATTACACTTTGCTGAAGTCAAACCGTATGATCCCAACAGGAAATTGAAGACCACAATCTATCAAACTTCTCAGTAGCCTTCTATCCTGAAGACATTAGAAGATTTCCCTACGGAAAGGTGCATAGTACGAGCTCAATATGGTGCTGCCTGTAAACTGTGGACCTTACGTCGTTATCTAGAACGCTGGCCAAAAGCGGTCTCACATAGCCAAAACGCCTTCCACCAGTTAAACTAATGAAGAAATTATGAAGCAACATTAGGCCGGAGCGATTATTCGTAGGGGCTTCTAGAGCTCGACTTCAGTGATTATGACGTTATATTCTAAACAGGATTAAGGGCATAGAAAGGGTGTCTGCTTATGTCTATGAAAGGACATCTGAGGAAAATTATGTTGAAGCTTCCATCAATAGCGGGACTCTTTACAACGAAAAGTTCGGTGGTGCGCGCCATGGGCAAAGTGTCTTTGTTGGTCCCCTCCCCCGTATGTTTGAACCGACTTTCTGTATCATGCAGTTATGCCAGTCTGAAGACCTCCCTTCCTGAGAGATTTTGGTTATGTGAATCGTAACAATTATGAATTTAGAAACGGTTTCAGGGTTTTGGGTGGCTCTTGCCGGGAGGCAGTCTCTCGACCTCGCCTTTAGCAACTACCGCTTCTGGGAATCGATCGGTTTGGCTGCCGGGTTTGCCATATCTCGACTGTTTTCCGTTGAAACAGTGCTGCTCATACTGTTCTGCCTTTTGCTGCTTGGTATGATTGGCTATTGCGCTATAGAGCTCTACGATGATGTGAGGGTAAGCACTTCTTTACTAGTCTGATGCATCACATTTTTTATGAATAAGAGGGTACGTTGGGTATATTTACATATGGGCACGTTTTCCGAGAAAAAAAACCGTCAAGGCTAGTCTATATGGTGCTTTTTCGGTACCAATTGATCATCACCAATGGAGTGCTTATTGAAGGCGGATGTAACAGAAAAGTCGTTGCCCATTGGAGCTGAAAGTAGAGATGGTAGAGGGTGCATTCAAGAAAAAACTAAGGAAAATGGCTGTAAACTCCGAAGTGAAACCCTTTTACCCTTCCTCACAGCACAGCGCTGCGAGGAAAGGGAAAACGCGAGAGAGTACGCCGTATGCGTGAGGAAGCAACCGCCACGTATGCCGTGCTTGATAGAGTGGCAGCGCCGACAGCTAGGAATGGTCTCAGACCCATTGCCGCCATACTTTTGAAACGCGGCAGTGACGCAGCTTCTGAGCTTGGGGAGCTTCTTTAGCACTCTGAGTGATACTGCCTCTTGACACGTAATCCCGACCCGTGGCTTCAAAGGCACGCTCCAGGATTATATGCGCTCATCCTGTTCCATACCCAAGCGTAGTAGACAGGCGGACAAGCGTTGATGTCGCGCCCCTTTTGCCGCTTGAAAGTGCGCGACAAAGGCGCTAGAAGCTTTTCGATCTCGCAACCCCACCCCTTCCGCAAGCCCCGCCTTCCGCTGTCGCCTGCCACGTGACGCTGCGAGAAAAGCGCGGGCGCATTGCGGCAGCGGTTGCATTGCGGTTCAATGTCATTGGCACTGGAGCAACTGGAGCTAGGTTCGTGAAACTCGTCCAACACGCCCCTTCTCTATCCCAAGGTGGAATGCGGCTGAAATAGAGGGTCTTATTCGGGGCGTAATCGGTGGTTTCTCTTGCTTTCTTTTCTTTTCCAGACCACTCCCCACCTCTAGCTTCATTAGTGAACGCTCTTCCACACCTATTTTATCCCGAAGCTTGCTCTTAGGCAGAAGAAAGTGGACGCATTTATCCCAAAGCTTTATAACGGAACGCTTAGAGAATCTTGGTCAACCTAAATCCAGTCATGCTAATACTTTTTCGACATTGGTAAAGTTGCATAGACGTAAGCTCACAAAGTTTTTGATTTGCTCTGGGAGAGGAATGACGGATCATGAATCAACTGGCTCTATTCCCTAATTTCTGTATGGCGGCAGATCAATGGGGAGAAGGATTTCGAAATGAAAATAAAGATTTTTTTCAGAGTCATTGCTCGAAGCTGGCAAACGTATGCTACGTAAAAAAGGACCATGGCACAAAGTCTGAGATGTCTCTTATTAGTCCTAATGTCTACTAGTTGCCGAAATAAGTTGAACGAGGCTGTGATTATTCGTATTTCTATAATTGTAATACTAATAAAGTGTATGAAACTCAGGCGTAGTGCTTTCATCATTTCCAAGGTGATGAACAAGCTGAAGAAGTAGTTGCATTCATCGTGCGCTTGTCGACGTCGCGTACGGCGGTCCTTTTTTACCACTCTTAAGATATCCTTGTTTTCTACCCTATATTTTCATGAATTTCCACTGTCTTCTGCTTCTTGCCGTTTCGCGCGTTGCCTTTGTAAAGATTATTACTAGTAATTTTCCTCGAGCCTTGCTGAACTTGTGTGATTCTTTTTTCCTTTGTGCGCAGTTTTTTTTTCAACATCGATCGCCTCCATAAGGTCACACGGAGATCATGCCGCGTAGAACACGCCGCACAAATAAACGAAATGACTCTCTGGTTAGCTCCAATAAGATTAGCACAAATCAAGTTTCAGGAGACACTTCAGGTACCCTTCCATGCGAGGATGATCTCAGGAAATTTTCCGCTAATAAGATCGTTAAAGCCCTTCTAGAACGCAACCCTGATCCTTTCATTCAGAAAAGGCTCAATGTGCTCAAGAAGATTTCCAAGGAAATATCTGGATATGCTAAAGCAGATAGGCGCGGAAGAAGCTTGATTGCTATCGACTTAGATAAAGCACCTCCCGAGCTCAATCTATCGGAAAGGCAGAAGGATCTCGAGAATAAAGTGGCTGATCTACTCGATACCCTGCAAGTGGAATGCCGCCCAGTGGAGCTTCACAGGATTGAAAGCCCAACCCTACACGTCCTCGACTAGTGAAAATATTGCTCCCTTCGAAACATCATTGGTGGACGATGCTGAAAATGCTAAAAACTTGCGATCTGCTGGCTTTGAAACTGCTTTTGTAAGGAAATGTATGACGGAAAGAACGTAAACATGACTCAGAGCTCCGACAGGAGGCCAATAAGAGAAATCAAGGAAAAGCCACGAGAGAATGGGTGGTCTACAAAGGAGAGCTCAAAAGAATTTCGGAGCTACCCCGTTCGGGAAACATCTAAGTTTGCACGATAATCAGAACTCATTGCTTTCCTGCAGCTGCATGCCCGCAGCTTATCAAATAAATTCACACGTCTGCACGGTTTAAATATAGAGAAGCCCGATATCGTAGTGATCACTGAGTTTTGGATGAATTTGTACATCTCTAATTCACAATTAGTTGCAAACATGCCTCACTTCGTCTAACGCCGCGATCGTAAGCGTAAGAAAGAAGTATTGATTTGTTGCTCAATCAGTTCTTTTTATCTATAGAGGAAATTTTTATTGACGACATCTTAAACTCCGATGTTCTATCTTTTGAACTCTTCGATTGCAGTTCGTCTAGCGCAGTAATTGCTGTCATTACTGTCTAACGACCTCCCAACTCAACGTCATATGATGGCTCTCAGTTGCTTGATCTGCTTTCCGGCTTGAGTTCTGTGCAGCCCCACACGATATTAATGGGAAATTTCAATCTCAAAATCATCTGGGAAACAATGAATGCCCCAAAACTCTTGCCTCAAAATTGTTCCTTGATTTCTTTGAGAGTAGCGGCATCGAGCAGTTTGTTAACAAGCCCACTCACGGCGAAAGTATTCTGGATCTTATCCTCTTTACTTCGCAAAATATCTTCAACATATCAGTTTTTCCGCCTTTTGGCAGCTCTGACCACAGTGTTGTCTTTTTCAACGTGTTCCATGCTGCATCCATCTCTGGGTTACCTCCAACTCCTGAATCTTGTAAGCTGACTACGATTGCATAGACTATCCAAAGCATATAAACTGAGTCGCCGCCTTAGAAAGCTACACTTCTGCAAGTGAGGTCTATAGGAGATTTTGTTTTCAAATCTACAAGGCCATGTCAATTTTTACCCGTTTAAGTCTCAAAACCGTCATGGCTGTCTTATCCACCTAATATTCTCAATCTGACTGCGCAAAAGCGCCGGCTTTTTCTATCTCAGCGTTTTCCCTTACAAGGAGGATAAACGGGTGTGCTCAGACCTCGACTACCATATGAAGAAATTCACAGTAAACGCTGAAGGCGCTCGTTTCATCATATCAGGAAGAAGACCAATTACCACAGAACTCTTCCTGTTCTTTCCGACTTAACAGGTTCCACATTTACTACCGATAAGCAGAAAGCCGATGCTCTAGGGGAATATTTCGCCAGTGTTTTTCTGCTGACTGCGCCAGCAATGAATTTAGAATGAGCGGTTTTCCTAAAACAATGCGCGGGCCCTCTCACGTTTTCTTTCATCCCAATGAGGCTTAAAACGTTATGAAGACTCTTCAAAAGTCTACTTCAGAAACCTTCGATGAAATCCCTCATCGCTATCTATAGAGAATGTGCATGTTAGCCCTGTCAACCTTAAGCTTATGTGTTGAATATTTCTATGCTCGTTGGCGAGGTGTCTGCACTGTGGAAAGATCGCTATTGTCTCGGTTCATCTCCAAAGTTGTTAAAAGTCATTTGCTGTCTGATTTTCGCCCTATTAGCATAAAACCTTCTTCAGCCAAGGTCATGGAAACACTCAATCAGAGACAAGCTTTTGCTATGGCTACAAAAACTCAAAGTAATCCCGTATGAGCAACATGGCTTCCTAAGTGTGCCTCAACAGCGACTAACCTCCTTGACAGTCTTTTCGATTGGTCAACTGCGCTCAATAGAGGTGAAGCCATAGATGTAATCTTTATAGACCTCTCTAAAGCGTTTGACAGAGTATGCCATTCTAAATTACTCAGCAAATTGAAACATCTTGGCATAAGTGGGCAGCTGCTGAACTGGTTTACATCGTATTTGGATTGTCGGTACATGACAGTGAAGGTTGTCGCAGTTTCTCTGAGAGACACCACTGCCTCAGTGGTGTCCCTCAGGGTAGCGTGCTATCACCTCTGCTTTTTCTCATTTACACCATTGATCTTCCTGCTTCTATCAAAACATCAGTGGATATCAAGGTACAAATGTATGCCGACGATATAAAGATCTATGCTGCCTATAATAAGGATAATAGATTAGCAGTTCAATCCGCACTGAAGCAGTCATTGATGAAAATGAAAGAGTGGGCCAGCTTGTGGAGCTTATTTATCAACTCCGACAAATGTTCAGTTTTCCAAATTGGACTAGGATGTACCCCACATTATGACATGATGTCACACTTGAGAGCTGTGATAACGTTAAGGACATAGGAATTTATAAGAAATCAAGTCTCACCTTCCGCAATCACATAGATACAGTGACTAAGAAAGCTTTAGGTGCTCTCTACCTCATCTTTCGTAAATTCCGACCCGAAGGCCCTGCTTTCCTTGCATAAAATTTTCGTGATCGTCATCTGGAGAACTGCTCCTCCATATAGAACCCTACTCTCAAGAAAGGTATAGTGCGATCAGGAAAGGTACAACAAACTTTCACAAGGTTACTTTATCTGCGATGTTTTTCAGCAATGATTATCGTGATTTACAAAGTTATGATGAACGCCTGAAATCACTTGGTCTATCACTCCTACTTCATAGGTTGATCACCAATAACTTGACACTCGCTGTTAACATACTGAGAACTAAGTTCATTCCGAGTAAGTACTGGGTGTTTCGTCCTAGTAGTGATAGAACAGGGGGCTTCAACCTGCACAACACAAGAATATC